TTCTCTCAGAGGCCCCAAAGGGACCCCAGAGCTGAAGTGAGAGATTTTGCAGTTCCATGTTCACGCAGCACTATCCACAACAGCTATGGCAGAAACAAACCAAGTGTCTCACTGATGGACAAATGGATGTTCAAAATGTAGCAGACACATTCAAGGGAATATAACTCAGCCCTCTCAGCGGGAGGAAGTTCCAGCACCTGCGGGTTCAGCTACGGAGTGTCCGACTCTGATCTTGGTTTAAAGGGTCCCAGTGGTTTGTGGGATAGAGTTCCGTGTCAGCCTGCACCTGATGGTGTGGAGCCTGCTTAGGCCTCCTCTCTCTCTCCCTCTCCCTCTGCCTGTCCTAATCTCTCTCTCTCAAACATACACATAAAGTTAAAAAAAAGGGAATTCTGACACCTGCCACTACATGCGTGAACCCATGTCATGCTGTTTAAATAAGCCAGTCACAAAAGGACAAATACTTATAAGCAGTGCCTAATAGGAGGTAAAAAACCATAGAGACAGAAAACAGAATGGTGGCTGCCAGGGGCTGGGGGGGAGGGGAGAGAAAGAGAAATTATTACTTAACAGGTACAGAGCTGTAGTTTTCTGAGAGACGAAGAGAGACTGACCCACACAACGATGTGAATTACTCAACACCACTGAACTTAATGATGGGCAAAATTTTATGTTGTGTATTTTACCAATTTTACAAGTGTGGATACTATGTGTTAATATAGTGTAAATGCCAGAAAAGCTGATTTTTTAAAAAAAAATTTTGATGTTTATTTTTGAGAGAGAGAGAGAGAGAAGTGGGGAAGGGTCAGAGAGGGGGAAGCAGGCTCCAGGCTCCATGCTGCCAGCACAGCAAGGTGGAGGCTATCAGCAGGTAGAATGGAGAGAATAAGTCCCGAGAGTGTGGCACTTTGTGAAGTTCTCTCCTGCCTGCCTTGCCTCATGGGATCATCCTGACAGTTCAGGGTAATACTCTCCCCATGTACAGAGGAGGAAAACTGAGGCTCTGGGGAGGAGGACACTCCTTGCAATGGACTGAATGTTTCAGTTCCCCCCAAATTCCTCTGTTGAGATTCTAATCCCCAGTGTGATGGGGGTATTATGAGGCGGGGCCTGTGGGAGGTGATGAGGTCATGGGTAGGATTGGTGATCTCAGGAAAGAGACCCTGGAGAGCTCCCTTCCCTCTTCTGTCATGTGAGGACATACAGAGAAGACAGCTGTCTGTGAACCAGGAAGCGGGTTCTCAGCAGACACTGCTGTTCTCAGCACAACAAGGAAGTTCCAGGGGTGAACCTGGTACCTAGAACTATAGACAGAGAAGCACAAAAACAAGGGTCTGCAAACCGTTTCTGTAGAGATCTACGGAGTAAGCGTTCTTGGCTTTGCTGGCCATCTGGTCTCTGTCTCAAGTATTTAACTTCACCCTCGGATCCGGAGAGCAGCCATATGCCAATGAATGAGCGTGGCTGTGTTCCAATAAAACTTTATTTACAAAACCAAGTGGAGAGCCGGGTTTGTCCTTTGGGCAACAGTTTGCTGACCGTGAAATAATGAAAAAACATATACCTGTTGGTCTTGGCCCCCAGTTCCCCGCACAGAGCTCCTAAAACCCTGGTAATTTCCTAAGTGATCACAGCACTAGGGGCATCTTCTATTCTACCATTTGATCTTTGACCTCAGTTCCTGACACAGAATTTCTAAATCCCTTGGACTCTCCTGGGTGAGAGGGATGTCCTTTGTTCTAATGAGGTGATGCCTGGCGGGCGCCTGGATCGCTTCGGGATGGGGACTGGTCACCAGAAAGACCAAGCTATGATGAGAAGCTTGGAACTTTCAGCCCCATCCCTCATTCTCCCGGAAGGGGACAAGGAGGCCGACTGAGTTCACTCTCCATCGTGTCTGTGTTAATGAAGCCTCCATAAAAATCCCCAAGTATGAGGCTTGGACAGCAGGCTGCCAAACATGGAGGTGATGGAAGGGTGTCACAAGATGACATGGAGGCTCTGTGTCCTTCCCCCAGACCTTGCCCTACACACCTCTTCCATCTGGATGTTCATCTGCGTCCTGTATCGTACCTTTTTGTATAAACTGGTGAACCTAAGTGTTTCCCTGACTTCTATGAGCAAATGATCAAACCAAAGGAGGGGGCTAGGGGAACCCCAGTATGTGGCCATCAAGAAGTACAGGGGATG